GACGAGGCACGTCGCACCACTATGTTTGCCGAGATATGCTCCGCAGGTATCTATGTGTATTTACCTTTGCACACCCTTGCCACTACGGCTCACTCTCAACTATTACAGACCAACCCTATCAATCCACTCATATTACATTAAAGACACCGCGTTAGATGGCAAAATGACCAAAATGAAGCTGAGATAAGGATATAAGAGATAAATTCTTTGCCGTTGATCAATGCCTTTGTGGGATGCGACACGCATTCTACTTCCATTCAAAATTGTGGTGGCTTATCGAGTTCGATGGGCCCATACAATGGGGGCCAGCCGATGTACAAGTAGCGTTCTTATCCTCCTCCCCCTCCCCCTCCCCCAGAGGAATCTGGAACCAATTCACTGTTTCCAGCAGGATACAGCGTCGTTGTGTAGAAGACAAAGGGGGTCGTACTTTCCCTCCGAGAAGGAGGTGGGGGTCGTATTCGATCGTTGGGAGATGGGGGAGCAGTGTGGGGCTCTAAGAGAAATTTGCCGCGTTGGGAAAAATTTTTCCCGATTGTTGCCTTTTCGTTTCTCTTTCGCGTGATGTTGCCTGTTTCATGTGTATATGTGTATTATATGCCCCCCCCCCTCCCCCCACTCGACAGCAAAATTTTCGGAGAAATGTAGGAAAATTCTCGGTAAGTCCCGGAAAAAGGGGTAGAAAGATGGCTATAATTTAAGAAATTTTCCCGTCTTACATGGGCTATGTACCCCCCCCTCCTCCTCTTTCCGCTCGATGGAAAATTTTTGGGTGAAAACTTGGAGAATGTAGGAAAGGGATAAGTAAGTGTTGCGGAAGGGGGGGGGGGGGGTCGTAGTGACACTCTCTCTCAGAAGAGTGAGGAGGGGAGGGTCGTACCTACACCACCATTTCACACATCACGATGCTGTACCCATGATGCTGTATCCTTGTTCCCACAGGGTAGAAGGAACGGTTAGCCCGGGCGGGAATCGACCCGGGATTTGAACCTAGGAGCGCGCGAGTGGTAAACAGACCACTTGTTCCTAGACCAACTCCGAGCGGAAAGAGGGGGAGGGGGGGGGGTACATAGCCCATGTAAGACGGGAAAATTTCTTAAATTATAGCCATCTTTCTACCCCTTTTTCCGGGACTTACCGAGAATTTTCCTACATTTCTCCGAAAATTTTGCTGTCGAGTGGGGGGAGGGGGGGGGCATATAATACACATATACACATGAAACAGGCAACATCACGCGAAAGAGAAACGAAAAGGCAACAATCGGGAAAAATTTTTCCCAACGCGGCAAATTTCTCTTAGAGCCCCACACTGCTCCCCCATCTCCCAACGATCGAATACGACCCCCACCTCCTTCTCGGAGGGAAAGTACGACCCCCTTTGTCTTCTACACAACGACGCTGTATCCTGCTGGAAACGGTGAATTGGTTCCAGATTCCTCTGGGGGAGGGGGAGGGGGGAGGAGGATAAGAACGCTACTTGTACATCGGCTGGCCCCCATTGTATGGGCCACATCGCATTCAATAAGCCACTACGATTCTGAATGGAAGTAGAATGCGTGCCGCATCCCACAAAGGGATTGATCAACGGCGAAGACTTTATCCTTTATCCTTATCTCAGCTTCATTTTGGTCATTTTGCCATCTAACGCGGTGTCTTTAATGTAATATGAGTGGATTGATAGGGTTGGTCTGTAATAGTTGAGAGTGAGCCGTAGTGGCAAGGGTGTGCAAAGGTAAATACACATAGATACCTGCGGAGCATATCTCGGCAAACATAGTGGTGCGACGTGCCTCGTCAATGTCTCAGAAACTCGACACCTATTTCGATGTAGCTTTTGGGTTCGCTCAAGCATGGTCCTGATAATGTGGATACTGTAGAGCAGTTTCTTTTGAAATCCATTGTTTTTTCGTTGATTCGGAGCTTCCCCTGTTTTATTCACTTTGGCTTTTTATCCAATATTTAAAATGTTAG